CAACGAGCTCCAGCGCACATGGACATTTAGCTTGCTAACAAACCGAATAAACGACATAAACTTCAACAGGCTTGCCTTCATTTAATTACACCAAACGTCTCAGAATCATATCATAAGGTATCTCGAAGCGGAGAGGCGCACCGCTTTGTCAACGCGTTTGACAAGATTTGGTTATAGTTCTCATCAGAAGGGGTATTTCTTACAGACCTTGCGGATCAGCATCAGTGCGTTGACGGTTTTGCACACCACCTTCACGATTGTCGTCCAAATGGTCTGATTGTCTTTTTCTTTCGAATTTCATCCTTACGTTTGGAAGGTTGGGAAGGCTCGAAGTCAAGTCCAGCTCTTCAGGTGCTGGAATGACATGACTGTCAGTATCAAGATGAATCATAGGGGTGGCATGAGCGGCTATGAGATCCTGGGAAGCATAAGTGGATTTCTCGGGTAGAACGGCTCCGAAATTTGAGCTGAGCTGAGGTCTTTCACCGTCTTGAGCAGCCATGGGCTCTTGAACTAAGTGATTGACTTTCTTGATTCGAGCGTCTTGTTTGGCTCGAACAAATCTCCCAACTTTCTTGGCTCGTTTGACCTTACGTCTGTACAAATTGTACCAACTTGAGGCTTCACTAGCAGAGCTCTTGTATATCTCAGCACTTTTACGATATAATTCTTCTTCTTTTTTAATAACATCGTCAAGAAATTGCCAATAGCGTTCGGCAACACCGCGATACGTTTCTTCATTCGATTCGGTTTTTTTGATAGCTTTGTCGACTTTTTTTTGTAGATCAGCTTCAAGGTCTTGAATTTTTTTAGGATTCTGATTGTTTTCGAGTTGCTTGATTTCGTCGACTACGGTGAGGAAAATGATTTCTTCGATCTTAACGGTTATGGCTTTTTCAGCGGCTTTGTTCATTTCTGATTCGTACTTATCAATGTTCTTCAGATGACTGACAGCTTCATTGGCAGCGTGATCAGCGCGTTCGAAAAGATGCAGTTCATTGCTTCCCTTTTTCACTTTTAAAGCTTCAGCTTTCATGCGTTCTAGAGCCGTGAGGATTTTTTTTGCTCCGACAATTTTCATGTTGACTTGCTCGAGTTTTACAATAGCGTCTTCAAGATTCTTCCTGAGAATTTGGCTTCCTTCTCTACTAGGGGTGGCGGAAGTGCCAACGTGTTCTCCGACCGGAAACATCTCTCTCAAGTAATTCTCAAGTTTCATCTGGGCTTCTTCTAAACGTGAAAGTAACTTAGGAACAATTTTTTTTGCTTTGAGTACTTCAGCAAGCCTGACGCGCTCTTCTTCAGCCACTA